ATAGAGATCATAAAGATCAGAGTACAAATTCTTGAAAAAAAAAATACAAAGAATCAGTGAACCAAAGAGTTGATTCTTTGAATGAATAAACAAAATAGACAAACCCCTTAGGCAATTTAACACACACACACACACACACACACACACACACACACACACACAAACACTCACACACCCAGAATAGCCTATTAACAGGCAATGAAATTGAGATAGTAAAAGAAAAACTCTAACAACTAAGAAAGGTCCAGGTCAAGAAGGGTTCTGTGCTGAATTCTACAAAAACTTCAGGGAAGGCTTAACAATAATACTCCTCAAACTCTGTAATGCAACTGAAAGGAAAGCGTATTCCCAAAGTCACCCTGGGAGTTAGCATGACTTTGTTTCCAACACCAGACAAGGATCAACCAAAGAAGCAAACTAGAGCTGAATCTCTTTAGTGAATAAATGCAAAAATCCTCAGTAAGATACTGGCAAACAGAATGTAATGAATAATCAAAAGTATCATACTCCGTGACCAAGGAGGCTTTGTCCAAGGGATGCAAGGATGGTTCAACTCATGCAAAACAATAAATGTAATACACCACAAAAACTGAAGGAAGGACAAAATATAGGCAGAAAAAGCCTTTGACAAAATCCAACTTCCATTCTTGATTAAAACTCTGAAGAAAATAGGTATAGAAGGACTTCATCTCAGTTTGATAAAGGCCATTTATGGCAAATCTACTTACAACATCATACTGAATAGAGAAAAACCGAAAGATTTCTCTATATTTTCAAGAGCAAGACAAGAATGTCTACTATCACCATTTTTGGTAAACATAGCATTCAAAACAGTAGCAAGAACAATCACCCAAGAAAAAGAAATAACAGGGATATATACAGGAAAGGAAGTCATCAAATTATTATTACTACAGGCAGATGTCACGATCCTCTACATGGAAGATCCTCCAAACTCTACCAAGATCAACACACAGAGAGTAATGGTGTTCCTATACACTAATAATGAAGCCATTGAGAGATTAAGAAAACACATCCACAATAGCACCAAGAAAAATTAAATACTTAGCAATTAACCTCAGAAGGGGAAGACCACTATGAAAGTTATGGTATTCTGAAAAAGAAGGTTGAAGTAGGCACCAGAAAATGGAAAGATACCCCCTGTCCTGCGAAGACAGAACCAATATAGTCAAATGGCCAAACTTTCAAATTTTATAAACATACTTAACACAACTGCAATTGAAATGCCAACAAGAGTTTTCACACAACTGCACAAAACAACCCTAAAATTCACACAGCCTTAGAAGAGACCTAGAATAACAAGAGGAACCTGGGCTAGTAAGAGCAAAGTGGGAGGTGTCACAATCCCAGAACTGAAGTTATGTTACAAAGTTACAGTGATTAGAACAGGATGGTACTGCCACCAAAATAAATACGAGGATACAAAGGATAGAACAGAGGATGCAGAAACAACCCCAAGCACATATAACTACTGCATTTGGTCTTGGACAAAGGGGTCAAAACATACTGGAGGAAAGCTAGTCTCTTTAATAGACTGTGTTGGACAAACTGGCTATGCACGTGGAGAAGACTGGATCTGGACCCACCTCTCTTACCATGCACTAAACTAAAATAAAAATGGACCGAAGATTTAAATGTTAAAACCAGAGCACTGAAACTGCTTAAAAATAAAATAGGCTAAACTCTTAAAGTCATAGGTATAGGCAAGGACTTTTTGAACAGAACCCTTGTTACACAGAAAATAATACTGTGGATCAACAAATAGGACCATCCTAAATTCAAAAGCTTCTGCACAGTAGAAATAAAACAGCTGAGGAAAAGGCAAACCTACAGACTGGGAAAAAAAATTTCCAGCTCTTCCTTCATCAGGGGACTAATATCCAGAATATGTAAAGAACTAAAAATATTAGACTATTCCAAAGAAAAGACTCCCATCAAAGGATGGGCAAGTGAATTGATTAAATATTTTAAAGAAGTAAAAGTGGCCAACAGCTATATGAAGAAAAGCTTATGATCACTGTCCATTAGAAAAGTGCAAATTAGGGGGCTGGAGGTTTAGCTCAGCGGCATAAGCACCTGCCTTGCAAGCAGGCAGTCGTGAGTTCGATCCCCGGTACTGATAAAAAGGAAAAAGACAAAAAAAAGAAAGAAAGAAAGAAAGAAAAGTGCAAGTTAAAACCACACTGAGACCTCATTTTGCCCTGGAAAGAAAGGTCATTCTCAAGAAATCAAATAATCAAATAATTAGACTGTGGGAAAAAAAGAAATCCTACAACTACTGCAGAGATCAGTATTGAGATTTCTCAAAAAACTAAAACTAGAAATTTCATTGACCCAGTTTTTCCAACTATTTTACTGAAAGGGTTAAAGCCATCATATTATAGTGATAAATGCATATCTATGTTTATAACAGCTCAAATAATAACAGCTAAATCTTGGAAGCAGCCCATAGGCCGTCAACAGACGAATGGGTAGAACGCTGCGGTATTTACACAGAGCAGAGTGCCACTCTGCCATAGAGATAAACCCGAGTCATTTTTAGGAAACTGCATTCACCTTCAGACCATAGTGTTAAGTGAGATAAATCGGACACACAAGCTTAAATACTGCACTTCTCTTGTATGAGAACCCAAATTACAAGTAAAGAGCAAAGTAAAACATAGATAACAGAATCTTCTCGAATGGGAAGGGGTCAAGAGGGAGGAAGGAGAGCAAAAAGGAACAGGATTGTGTTACACAGCAGCACTGTCGACACTGTGTGCTGCAAACATGCACTAATATAAAAGGCGAGAGCTATGTGCATGTTTCTGTATATTCATTTACAAATAACATAATAAATGCAATTATATATGGTTGTATATATTATCCATAATTAATAGTATAGTAAATTTATGATGTAGAAAAAGTTTATATTAAATAAGTTTATATTAATATATACTAAATGTGTCAAATAACACATCTCAAATACATTTTTTTTTAACTTTTTATCGGTACCGGGGATTGAACTCACGACTGCCTGCTTGCAAGGCAGGTGCTTATGCCACTGAGCTAAATCTCCAGCCCCTCAAATTACATTTTAATTTTGCTGGCATTTCAACTCTTTGCACATATCAGAATAGAAATATTTATTTTCTCAAAAAATGTGTCTATTACCTGGCCAGACAAAATCAATTGCGTAGAAGGAGAAGGAGATGAATTAACAGAAAGCATTTCAGACACATGACTTCAACTACTGCTCTTCGGAAGGCTCATTTGTACCTTCCTGTCCATTCTGAGATCATGGTGATTTACCTGTGCTGTTCTCAGAAGCAGGATTTTCTCACTGTGTCTTGAAAAAATTAACGTTTTGTACATTAAATGGAATTTTTTTTCAAAAACTATACAAAATAGGGGTTAGGGATGTAGCGCGGGGCTACAGTGCTTGTCTGGCATGAACAAGGCCCTGCATTCAATGATTAGTATCTCACAGGAAACAAGCAAAAAGTAGAGAATATACTGTCAGGGCATACAAAATTATGCAGTTGTCTTTAAACTTAAAGATATTTACAGTGGAATGTGAATTTCTTAGGACTGCTAGCATTTTATTTACCAAATCTCTGCTGAGTATTGGAGTGTATAGATGAATTTACTGTATATCCGTATGGATTCTTCACACACCAAGTTGTGGCATTTGTGTGGCTCACTACCATTCAAGTGTGTCCCTCCAGAGGTTTAGTCCTCCAGCTGGCAGCAGGGGGAGGTTGTGGACATTTACTAGGTGGCCCAGTGGGAGACCTGTGGCATTGCTTCTTGGGAGTGACTGAGTTATTTCTCCAGAGATTCCGGTTAGTTCTTGAGAGCAGGTGGTTAAAAAGCCTGAGCTGGGCTCCACCCAGCCTCTCCGACTTTCTGTTTGGTGATGTAACTTCTTCCTGCATATATTTCTAGCACCCACCAGAAGATCCTCACCACAGCTGAGCCCCCCAAGCCTCCAAAATCTTGAACTGAAATAACCTCTTTTAGTCAGTCTGCTTTAAGTATTTCATTCTAGTAACACACAACAGACGCATACAAGGATCTAAATGGTAAATGTGTTAATGAGATTAGGAAACTAGGTGATTTAGTCAGTCTTACATATTGAGTTGTCATATAAGCATTAAACCACTTTGAGTCAACCACAAATACAGATAATTTTCCCACTATATAGAAATAATGACTAATGAAAAAAATTACAGTGCAAACAAAAATTAATACATTATAGTTTACCATGAGATAAAAAAGGGAAAAGTAAATGTTACATATAAATTTTGCTACTAAAAATTCTGATGCAGATAGAAAAGAATCAAATGCATATTACTTAAAGTAAACTTCAACTGATACAACAAGGACTCCATGATATTTAAACACGGGCTATTCCCGTTTGGGGTATCCTCCAAGAAGAATTAAAAGCATCGTACCACAGCGATATATGTGCATCTATGTATATAGTGGCATGGTCTGTAATAGCCAAGTCTCGAAAGCAACCGAAATGCCCATCAGACAATGACTGGATAAAAAAATTTGGTTTTTTTTTTATGTAATGGAGTATTACTCAGTCGCCCAAAATAAAATTAAGACATTTATAGCTAAGTGAATGGGCCTTGAGAGCATGATCATAAGTGAAATAAGCCACACACATATATGTAAACATCACATTATTTCTTCAGTGTGAAAATGTAAATAAGAACAAAAATGTACAACATATTTGTGAAATAGGAAGAAACTGTTCAAAAGGAAAAGGGAACTAGGGATGAGAGAGGGACACGGAAAGGGAAAAGAAAGAAAAATGAAAACAGGCTTGTGAAAGGGGAGGTGAATGGAGAAAAAAGGAATCAAGATATGTCATGCACAGGTACAGTCTCCCTATCATAAAAGTGGTCATCATGTATATATAAATCATACTAATAAATCTAAATTAACTAAAAAACAGTAACATGCTTATCACAAGGAAAGATAATACTTACTGGAAAAAACCACATCACTTTAAGAATCCAAATTGTAAGAGCCAAATTCACCACGAGGATGATGAGCAAGAGCAGGACGAACAGGTACAGGCAGCGCTTCCTCCAGCCATAGATGCCGATTTTGTAGACATCCTGGCTCTCCGGCCTCTCGACCTGGGTGCCTTCCGTGGTGGCCATGTACTGCTCTTGCACCATCTTCTTGGGAGGGGACAGGTGGACAAGGAGACGGGGGAGACGGAGGAAAACAGCTCATCAGTGACACTAATTTATACCAACCTGGAAAAAAACTCTCTTTGTTCTGCCCTAGTAAAGCACTTCTAGGATTAATAATTTTTTAAAAAGAATGAAATATCATATCTTGCAACATGTCACCATATTTCAGCCAATGGGAACTTTTAGCATATAAAATATTTTAGGTATGACCAAGTCACTTGAAATCTAGTGATACTATTTTCAGATTTTAATCAATAAATTCAGTATACACACACGGGGACGTCTCTGGGGCTCAAAATTCTTCAGGGGTAAACTTGGAATTGAAGGATCAACCTACAACAGTTAAGTTACCAAGTCATTAAAAGATTCAGGAGACTAGATACATATGTATATTTATATTCCAGCTACTCAATTTTGTGTCAATTATTGTATCCTTCTTCAATCACTATGTTTCTCAGAATTTAAGACTCTTCACCAGATACCTACCATTCCATCCTTGGCCTGTGATAAAATTTCCATGTGTTGACCTCCTTTAAGGCAGTTCAGAAAACGTATATATAGAAATGTTCACGAATAATAATTGTTAATGCAAATTACAGAAAGAATTTTAGCAATAAATTCAACTCTATGAAGAGATTTAAAAAATCATTTTTCCCTTAAAAGAAAGAAAAGAGAGTGAGCTTTGTCTATCAAGTGAACATTAGAAAATGTATAGACTTTGTTTGTGAATTTAGTAAGCATGAATCAGAATGTAAAATATTCTCCTCTGGGATTTTCTATGCAGAAGTCATGCATTTTCAGGGATGTGTGGCAGTGTCCTTCCTGAAAGCATATCATGGTCTAACTTAATTCTTTGTCTTTTTTTCCAGTTTAACAGAAGGTATTTCTCCATGTTACACCTGGTTCAGAAAATGCTGTGTCCGTCACATGGTATTTTCAAATACTCAGGATGGGCCGTCTATGGTGCTGAGCTCCTGAGGGCCCTGCTGCCTGGCTCATTCCTTCAGTCCTCCCTGTTAGAAGGTCTGCTGCCCACCCAGCTCAGCTGCCCCAGCCCAAGGTCCTGGTGTTGTCCTGCTCCATCCTCTTTTCCCTCAAGCACCAGCTCGGAAAGTTCTATCAATGCTTTCTCTCATCACATCCGTGATCTGCCTACTGCACAATTTCCTGTTCAGTGTGAACCACCGTGAACTCTGTCTTCTGTGCTCATGCAAAACCTGACTCCAGAAGTCCTGCGAAGGTCAGACCGAGAGTGCAGCTGGATGGCGAGGGGCGGCCAAGGGTCTGACTTTAATGCACAGCACAGTTTTCAGTAGTGCTGCAGGTCGATAAAACTAGCAATGTTTTTAGGGATATAAGTCTGTGTATTCCTATTTCTTCCTGTTTATTTACTTAAATTGTTGGTTGAACAAATTATTACAGTGGCTAAACATGATTTTATCTTACAGTCAGCAGGAAAAAGTGCATCTCCAGGGCCCCCAATTAAACCACGGACAGGGTTTTTTTCTCTGGGGGTGCAGGTGAGAATACCGTCCTCCTCCTCTGGCTTCTGAAGGCTGCCGGCCCTCCTTAGTACTAACCTCTCTCCACCATCCCTTCTCTGAGTTGGCCTCTGACTGTGCACCCTCCCCACAAAGAGAAGCCTGAGAGTCCCTTGTGCTCACCTGAATAATGCAGAAAAAATCTATCTCATGGATTCTAATGTTATCATAGTGGGAAAATTCATCTTGCCATGGAAAGTAACCTATTCTCGGGTTCTGGAGTCAGCAGGTGGGCATCTTTGAAGTCAACATTCCATCTACCCCAAAATGCATTGTTCACACTCACTGCGAACACCAGCACAGTTTAAGGGGGGTTTGTCGTGGTTGACAAGATGATTGATAGCAATTTTGTTATGAGGATGGCTTTTAGCTCCCCAAGTCAGTGCTGGGCCCCAGTTTATTTGACCATTTCCCTGTTTGCTGCTTCCCCCTCTTTAGAATGCAAAGTTTATGATGATATTTGCTGTTTTACTTATTGATATAATCCTAACATAATACAATGAAAAAATAGTGACCCATAGTAAAACTTCTGAACAGCTGAATGAGTGCACCTCTGAATTTGAGGAATATTAACTGAGTTACCTTTTGGAGGATGATAGAGGGGCAGGTAGATGGAGTAAATCTCCTGAGGTATATATTGAATGAAATATTCTAACACTTATCAATATATTCAATATATTAAAAAGTTTCAGTAGTTGTGACAACTTTCCTTAAACCATGTTTATGAATGAGGAGTTTACCTCAAACAGGATACAGAATACTGGATAAAAACACTTTCAGAAATGACATGCTGGGAAGGAGATTGATAACAGAAACATGAAGTCTCCATATTTTAAATATTAAAAGAACACTAAGGAGGGTGTAAATACAGGGTTGGAAAAACAGACAACAGGCTTGTTTCCAACTTCCTTACTTTTTCCTTCTTGCTAAGGGCAACTCCCAACTCCAAGCTGCCCAGGTCCCAGCTGTTGAGGTCAGCCTTCCTTCTGGTCTGCTCCACCCAGCCCCCTGGACAGTGTGGTCGGTGCCATCTTAAATTCAGAATCTGGCTCTTCTTACCTGCCATCACCTTTCACCTGGTTGTACTCTCACTCTTCACACCAAATCTTCTGCTTCTGACATACCTGCAGAGTTTTCCTCTTAAGACATGGTTACGTCACACTTGGCATAAGGCCCTCCTCAGGTTTCCAGTCCCAGAGTAAAAACTCCTCCTTGTAAACTCCACAGCTCATCTTGCCATCATCCCTTGCCACTTTTCCCCTTCCTCCTCGTTACGAATGGATCTTAAGTGTTCCCCGAAGCTCACGTGGAAAGGCTTGATGGCCAACCTGGGTTGCCACTGCACTGATGGAATCTTTAGGGTGGGGACCATGGGAGGTAGTGCGGACCCACTGCTGTATACCCTTGAAGGCCTGTGGAACTTTTCCTCCTATCCTCTTCCAGGCTGCCACAAGTGACCAGCTTTGGCTCCCCATGTGCCTCCTGTCATGATGTTTTGCCCCCTCAGAGTTCCTCAGTGACAAGATCAAGGGACCAGGAATTTAAGCTTCTGCAACCACACCCCAAAGTAAGTTTTCCTCCTAACAAGTTGGAAAGCTGACATCGAGAAGAAGTACACTTTCTTATCAACTCTACTACCGTCATCCTTTAATGTGGCCAGGCGACCCATCTTTCTATGGCAGCAGATGAAACTATGATAATCAGTTTTTCAACTGGCTCATCATGGCTTCTTGGGCTTCTGTTTGCATCTTGAGACCCCTTACCACCCAGCTGCAGTGCACATCCTGTCACTGGGAGACACCCTGGGCACATGGCACAACAGGGCTCTGTGGCTTGGAGCTCAGTCCTAGGTCCATTTGTTATTACTGGACACATAACAGTCACAACTAATCTTGTTAACCTTATAATTGTTGTGAGATATTACCTAATTTATTTATGCATGCTGCATATGTAGAGGCCCATGTTTTCTTAAAATTTGTTATGATAGCTACACACGGAAAATGCTTACACAGGGAAAGCTTTATACTTGCTGTTCAGTCTCTCAGTCTAGGTCATCTTAGTGTTTCAAAGGTTACATGTTTGTAGGATACAATGACGCTATTTCTTAATCAAGTTCAGGAAACAACTATTACAGATATCACACTGAAATCAGAAAACTGTGTACGTCACTAATGTAATTAACCAAGACTCTCTGAGCAGGATTTCTGGATAAGACAAAAAAAAAAAAAAAGCCTAAGCAACAAGGCCAAAACTAAACAAATGAGACTGCATAAATGATAGTGCTTCTGTACAGCAAAAGAAACTCAGCAGACTGAAGACAACATACAGAATGGGAGAAAATACTGGAAAGTATATAAGTGACGAAGGGTTGTTAATCAGAGTGGGTAAGAAACTCAGTAACAACAAATGAAAACCTTATTTTAAAAGTGAGCAAAAGACCTGAATAGACATTTCTTAAAGGGAAACATACAAATGACTAATGAGCAAATGAAACACTGTTTAATATCACTAATAAAATATGCAAATCAAGACTGCAGTGCAGTGGCACCTCATACCTGTTAAAATGGTTTTTATCAAAAAAGAGAAAATGGATAAAAAATGTACAACAGATATTGTAATAATGAAAGGGAAAGTGCTCAAAAGGAAAGAACAACTTGTAGGTCTACTCATGTAACTATATGTTTAAGTGTGTGAGGTAGATAACCATACTATTAATTCTCTGTTGGTTTATCAAAAAGAATAGTTTATTCTATCAGTGCTTGATTGTTCATTTTTTATGCTTTGATTTTATAATTTGAGTGACTACTTCTAAGATAACAATGTGTAATATATTTACTAGTGTTGGTTTCTTACTGTTATTTTTTTTGAAATTCTGTATTATTTCTACCTTTTTCTGTTTTGCTTTTTAAAAATGAAAAATAAAAAGTAAATAAAAGACAAAAAGTAAGAGTCAGGGAAGGTATGGAGAAATTACTACACACTGTTGATGGTTATATAGAAGTGCATATATGAAAAACAGTAACGTTAAAAGCAGAACCATCATACAACAAGGTCCAGAAACCTTACTACTGAGTTGATACAGCTGTGTCTAACTGCAACCTCACCCCCTAAAAAAGACCTCATGCCATCACAGGTGGGGCTTTTTCAGAGGTGGCCACATCTCGAGTGTGTGACACTGGGATAAATTCATGGTGCAGTGCTGGGTTCAAGGGTTTCAGGATTAAGGGTGTGAGTGCGAGCTGCCCTAAGAAGCGTGGATAAAATATAGAGGGTAGGATGACTTGTGGTCATCTCTCACTTGCTTTGCTACCTTCTTCCTGCCATACACTGTCCTCCTTTGCAAAGCCTGTCTGCCACACTATCCTGCCTTGGAACCAGCTGACTACAGACTGAAACCCTGCAAGTTGTGAGCTAAATAAACCTTTCTTTAACTTTGTCAGG